TTGCTCCCTGTAAGCATATTCTCCAAATGTGGCACCTTTTCGCCCACGGTCCATGACTCAAAAACGAGAACTAGTTTTTCTTCTCAAACTTAATAATTCAGTAGAACTTAACTACTTATATACTTCAGAGATTAACCATGCTATTTTACACCTGCTTTCCTTTGAACATACATTTTTCTAGAATATCCTCCACAATGAAGTGCCTACTATCTGTTAGGCTCAGATATACGTGCTGGAGTTGCAATGGTGAAAAGTCCACTCCCTGACCGCAAGGAGTTCATATTGAAGAAGGAACATGTGATAAGTAAACAGGCTGGGTGTGGTGGCTCACGCCTGTAATCCAAACACTTTGGGAGGAGAGTTCAAGCCTGCAGTGATCTATAATCAAACCACTGTACTCCAGACTGGGTGACAGAGCTAGACCCTACAACAAAACAAACCAGACATTGACACTATGACATTAAGTGCCCTAAAAGAAGTGACTTATGTGTGCTGCTGTAACCACACATTTTTGTTTGTTCTCTGTAACCAACGTTTACAGTGTGGAATACAGTCATGAGCTGGGCGTGGTGGCTCATGACTGTATTCCCAGTGTGCTGCTGGCGTACCTAGGTGGAGACCTCACTTGGCATAGCATAATTAAGGGTATAACCCCAGGTCTACCCTTCATTGTGTGGCCTTGGGCAAAGTACATGTTCTCTGTAAAATGGGAATGATAGTTTTAAAAAGAATACAGTTAAATGACTGTAAATCCCTTCTGTATGAAGCAAAGGAGTTATTTGATTGTGGATCATATAAAAAGCACTCATTTGGGCCGGGCGCGGTGGCTTGCGTCTGTAATTCCAGCACTTTGGGAGGCCCAGGCAGGTGGATCCCTTGAGCTCAGGAGTTCAAGACCAGCCCTGGCAACATGGCAAAGCCCCATCTCTACAAAAAATACAAAAATTAGTCGGTGTGGTAGCGCACACCTGTGGTCCCAGCTACCCAGAAAGTGAAGCCTGCAGCAAGCCCAGATCAAACCACTGCACTCCAACCTGGGTGACAGAGCAAGATTCTGTTTGAAAAAACAAAACACAACAACAAAAAACACAGAGTCAAGCGCCTGTGCTTCCTAGGAATGATAATGCCTCTCCTTCCCCAGCCTCATTCTAAAAATAAGAACAATTACAAAGAACGTTTATTATGCTCTTTCATTTACGCCATCACATTAAATCCCCCCAACAACCTCTGAGGTGAGTATTATTACCATTTTACAGATGAGGAAACTAAGGTGACAAGCAGCTCTGTTGCCCAGGCTGGAGTGCAGTGGCGCAATCATGGCTCACTGCAACCTCGACCTCCTGGGCTCAAGCGATCCTCTCACCTTGGCCTCTCAAGTAGCTGGGACTATAGGCAAGCACCATTATGCCAGGCTAATTTTTGTGTTTTTTGAATGAGGTTTTTCCACGTTGCCCAGGCTAGTCTGGAATTCCTGAGTTCAAATGATCTCCCAGAGTGCTAGGATTACAGTCCCAGGCATGAGCCACTGCATCCGCTACAATTTTTAAATTTTGTGTAGAGATGGCATCTTCCTATGCTGCCCAGGCTGGTCTCAAACTCCCAGGCACAAGAAATCCTCCTGCCTTGACCTCCTGAAGTACTGGTATTACAGGTGTAAGCCACTGTCCCTCTCCGCGCCAACTCCACCCTGGGATTAGATAGAGAGAAGAACTCAGGATGAGGGGAGAAGAAATAGGGAAAGAGAAATGGGAAAATGGGAGAGAAAAGGAGGTGAGTAAAGAGAGAGGAGAAAAGGACTGGCTAAATTTGAGAAAATCACAGGAGGTCAGTGCTGGAGAATTACCTAGGAACTTAGTAACTGAAAAGACTCTAGATCTGCACTGTTCAATACAGTAGCCTGCAGCCACGTGTGGCTATGGAGCACCTGAAATGTGGCTAGTCTGAATTGAGATTTGTTGTTAAGTGTAAAATACCAGAATTCAAAGCTTCCGTATGACAGAAAGAATGTAAAATATCTCATCAATAATTTTTCATATCAATTACATGTTGAAATGCTTTGGATGTATCTAATAATACAATAAAATATTAAAATTAATTTCATCTATTTTTTTTTTTAGCCTAAAAAATGTGGTTACTAGCTAGATGCAGTGGCTCATGCCAGTAATCTCAGCACTTTGGGAGGCCAAAGCGGGTAGATCACCTGACGTCAGGAGTTCAAGACCAGCCTGGCTAATGTGGTGAAACCCAGTTTCTAGTAAAAGTACAAAAAATTAGCCGGGCGTGGTGTCACGCACCTGTAATCCCAGCTACTCAGGAGACTGAGGCAGGAGAATTGCCTGAACCTGGGAGGTGGAGGTTGCAGTGAGCCGAGATCACACCATTACACTCCAGCTTGGGCAACAAGAGTGAAACTGTTTCTCAAAAAAAAAAAAAAAATTTGGTTACTAAAAAATTTTAAACTATATATATGGCTCACATCTGTTTCTTACACTAGATTTCTACTGGACAGCGTTAGTCTAGAAATCTTCTGACCTTGAGCTAGCTATCTCTGCTGTTTCCCAGAGTCTCTTCCAACAAGTCATTTACCACCTATCATGTACCAGTTGATGAGGAAAGATTCAGTTGCAGTCTAAGGATGAGACTAAAACAGGGACAACGGGTGCTGGTGGTTAATGTATCAGTGAGTTCTATCTTAATACTCCTAGAATGGTGTATATAAGATATACATACAAGATATTCTTGAATGGTTCTTAACTTTACCAGCTCCAGTGTTCCCTTTCAATAACATTTTTTTGAGACAGAGTTTCGCTCTTGTTGCCCAGGCTGGAGTGCAATGGCTCAATCTTGGCTCACTGATTCAAGCAATTCTTCTACCTCAGCCTCCCAAGTAGCTGGGATTATAGGTATGTGCCACCATGCCTGGCTAATTTTTTGTATTTTTTGTAGAGACTGGTTTTCTCCATGTTGGTCAGGCTAGTCTCAAACTCCTGACCTTAGGTGATCTGCCTGCCTGGGCCTCCCAAAGTGCTGGGATTACAGGCGTGAGCCACTGCGCCTGGCCTTAGTAACATTTTTATAACCCCCTGTTTACTATTTTGAAACGAAGTTCATAGATGATATAGCCTAACTACATACATAATTTCAAAACAATGATAGTGTCTGAACCATAAAAGAAGGAAGAAATAAAAGGAAACACTTTATAATAAGATTACAATTTTATTTCAGTATGCTAGAAAGCATAATTAGTCAGATGCTTGTATTTATGCATAGGAGCACCTTGAATGTGACAGTGCAAATGCAGACTGAACGCCATGAATAACACTGTCATCAGTGACACTGTTCTCCAAAATGGTGAGTAACTCCTAGGATATTCCCGAATACATCAAAGTATAATCTTCCTTCTGATAACATGGTGGTTACATTCCTTAAAAATTTAGCACATTTCACACCCCTAAAAGATTACTTTGTTTTTTGTATATAAGACACAGGCGGCCAGGCTTGGTGGCTCATGCCTGTAATCCTAGCACTTTGGGAGGCCGAGGGGGGTGGATCACAAGGTCAAGAGTTCAAGACCAGCCTGGCCAACATGGTAAAACACCATCTCTGCTAAAATTACAAAAATTAGGCAGGCGTGGTGGTGGGTGCCTGTAATCCCAGCTACTAGGGACACTGAGGCAGAGAATTGCTTGAACCTGGGAGGAGGAGGTTGCAGTGTGCAGAGATTGCACCACTGCACTCTAGCCTGGGCAACAGAGTGATACTCCGTCTAGAAAAAAAAAAGACACAGGCACATCAGATGATTATAACCAGTTTTGTTTTGTTTTGTTTTTAATCTATATACATGTTCAATAGGACATGAGAAAGCTGTGTGGAATCAGCACAGTTTTCTTTTAGTAGAGACAGGGTTTCACCATGTTGGCCAGGCTGGGCTTGAAGCCTTGACCTCAGGTGATCCACCCACCTCGGCCTCCCAAAGCGCTGGGATTACAGGTGTGAGCCACTGCGCAGGCCTAGGACAGTTTTCTTGTGTGATACCATCTTGCAATGTGCAAGACATGGAGCCTCCTTGGCCCCTCTCTCCCAATCATTTGATAACAAAATTGCCCAGTACATTTGCAAATTGCTCCTTAGGGGGGTGCCATTCTGGTTGGGGAACCACCGTGGTGGTCCGAAGGCCCTTCCTGTTCCCTGTCCCCCAGACTTGCCTTGGGTTGTTCCCGCACCAGGCTCTAAGATGCCCTGGGCCTTCCCAGTTCTTCTCTAAGCCAATGTTTTCTCTCTTAGGACATTCTAGTGCTCTTTGCCTGGAAAACTGTCCACTTCATGTCTGGATGACTCTTCCTGACCCTTTGGATCTCAGTATTGCCAAATTCCTAATCTAATTTAATACTGTTTAGTTTTTCCACAGGACTCTGTGCTTTTCTGCAATGGATTGGGATTTCTACCCGTTTTATTCTTGCTATGTCAGTGTGCTTATTGCCTGTCTCCCTCAACTCTCAGTTTCCTGAGAGCAGGGACCATGCCTATCTCGTCCACCACTTATTTCCCCAGCACTCACGAAGATGCCCGGATCTTAGCTTCCTTAGATGGACGTACGTGCCTGGAAAACAACAAACACTTCTTAGGTAACTGAAAGGTTGATGGGATTCCCCAGCTAACTGGGAGAAGCACACTCCCGAGGGTGGGGGCATGTTTTTTTCCAGGGCAGATGGGGTTCAGCCGAAGCTACGGGGCATCTTTGGTCCAGTCGGGATTTGCCTGGATTCGCGTCTGTGGGGGCGCACGCGTCTTTCCGGTGGGCGGCCAGTTGGGGACCAGCCACCAGGATCCCAGCCGAGGCTGAGCGCGGTGCAGGGAAGCTGTGGGAGCGACCATAGAGAGAGCGCGCGCTGGCGGAGCGAGCGGCCGGATGCGGTCACCATAGAAACAGGTGACTGACAGGCAGCGGAAGAGGAAGTTGCGGGCCAGGGCTGTGAGGTGGCAGCGGCTGCAGCGGCGGAGCCGGCGCCTCAGCGGGCACTGGGGTCTGTTCCCCCTTCCCCGTCCCTGCTCCCTGCCAGGCGCGCGCGGGACGCCGCTCTTGGTCCCCACGCCCCCGCCCCGCCCCGCCCCGTCCCGGGACGCCGGAGAGCCCCCTGCCGCCCTTTATCCGGCGTCCGCTGGTCCTGGGCCCTGAAACCCGGGCCTCCTCCCCGCGGGGCTTGGGCGTCCCTCTTGGTCCTGCGCTCGCTGCCTCGGTGCTATCTCTGGCGCGGCCTCTGCTCCCACCGACGGGCCTGAGAACGAGGTCTGTGCCTCAGTCTCCCAGCCGCGACCTCCGACCCCGGCTCGCAGAACGATCAGAGCCGGACTCCCGAGCCCCCTTCTCAGCAGCCGGGTGACGTGGCCAGTTTATTTCTGTTTTGAAACGAACGGCGAGGACTCGCGTCGGGCCTTCGTTCTAGGGCTAGACTTGGTGTCTGATCGCCGAGAGGTAGAGCAGGGGCGCCGGGCCCCCGGCAGGGATCCTGTCGGAAGCCGGCTGCGCTTCTGTTTGCGTTCTCAGAATCCTCTCTGTTTGCTTTTGGTTTGTTTCGTTTGGCCTCTGGGGCCCTGGTAAAACCAGGCACCGAATCGCTCGCACACAGCAAGAGCTCCAGTCCCTGCCTGCGGTCTCCTCTCAGCAGCTGGGGTTCCCAGGAGAATGCCCTGCAAGATGGTTCCATCGGCCATGGCGCTCCTGAGAGGCTGTCAGTGCTGAGTCATCGATCCGTCTAGCTCATTCGGGTGGGCAGAACTTGTGTGTGCCATGCGAGTGGCTCCTGGCCGCTCCTGAGTGGGAGGCGGGGTTCCTGTAGCCATTGCGTCTCCTCACGCGACGAGCAGAGTAGAAGGAGGCTCTGGCCCCTTCCCTTGTGCCCGCTGAGCCTGCTGCGGTGGTTCAGCAGCCCCGTCAGTAGCCTGCCTGAGGACCCGTGCCAGAGCCAGGCATTCTTCAGGAAATGCCCACTGAGGCCGGCTCCGGCTCCTCTGGTTGGGGGCTGTTGTTTTTGATTGATCGTGTGCTTTCCCCTAACTTCTTATTGCTTGCTGTCATCTGTTGACTTAGGCCCAGTCTGCAGATGTGTATAGTACTCCTTTTTGGGTTAGCTTTGGCGGTATTTAGTTTTACTTCCTCCTCTTTCTACTGGAAGACAGACCATAGTCCTAGTGTGAGTGAAATTGATTGTTACATGTATTGCCGTGTGGGCTGGGGGTTAGATCCGCACCTTCACAGTTGAAGACCAGGCAGAGGGAGTTGTGAAGACAGGACAGTCAATCTTCTTGGGGATGCTGAGCCTGGAAGCCAGTGTGCCTTGCTCTGTTGTTGGCCTCATTGACCCCAGGTTCCCTGGTTAAAACTTCAGGCCTACCACTGGCCTGGTGCCCATCAATCCATTGATCCTTGAGGTTGTGCCCCGTGGGGCACCCACATGGCAGGGCCTACCACCATGCGACTGAGCTCCCTGTTGGCTCTGCTGCGGCCAGCGCTTCCCCTCATCCTAGGGCTGTCTCTGGGGTGCAGCCTGAGTCTCCTGCGGGTTTCCTGGATCCAGGGGGAGGGAGAAGATCCCTGTGTGGAAGCTGTAGGGGAGCGAGGAGGGCCACAGAATCCAGATTCAAGAGCTCGGCTAGACCAAACTGATGAAGACTTCAAACCCCGGATTGTCCCCTACTACAGGGACCCCAACAAGCCCTACAAGAAGGTGCTCAGGTGAGAGCTACGTGTGTGCATAGTCTCCAGACACTGGCCCTGTTTTGGGCTGGTGTAAATTCTTGCTTCTGCCTTTCTGTTGGCAATTGGTGTCAGGTGACTTGGAGCTATTCTGTCTTATTTCCCATTAATGGTTTTTGTTTTTTCTCTCCTTCTCAGATCTTAGACAGTCTCACTCTTTGGTGTTAAATTAGGCTTAGATGTTCTTGAACAGAGTTGGAATTGCATCTAACCCATCTAATCTATTCTTAGTAGACTCCCTCTCCTCCCAAATCAATTCCAGTGTCAGCTACTTAGTGGATACTCAGTTCAGAACCTAATTAATATTGACAAGGAAGGAAGTTTCTCCCTTCTCAGCCCCAACTCACCCACCCCTAGAGGGAGATGTATATACTGAATAAGCTGGTTTCCTGAAGATGAGGTAGTTGACCCCTGGCACACTGGTCTCTCCACAGGACTCGGTACATCCAGACAGAGCTGGGCTCCCGTGAGCGGTTGCTAGTGGCTGTCCTGACCTCTCGAGCTACACTGTCCACTTTGGCTGTCGCTGTGAACCGTACAGTGGCCCATCACTTCCCTCGGTTACTCTACTTCACTGGGCAGCGGGGAGCCCGGGCTCCAGCAGGGATGCAGGTGGTGTCTCATGGGGATGAGCGGCCAGCCTGGCTCATGTCAGAGACCCTGCGCCACCTTCACACACACTTTGGGGCCGACTACGACTGGTTCTTCATCATGCAGGATGACACATATGTGCAGGCCCCCCGCCTGGCAGCCCTTGCTGGCCACCTCAGCATCAACCAAGACCTATACTTAGGCCGGGCGGAGGAGTTCATTGGTGCAGGCGAGCAGGCCCGGTACTGTCATGGGGGCTTTGGCTACCTGTTGTCACGGAGTCTCCTGCTTCGTCTGCGGCCACATCTGGATGGCTGCCGAGGAGACATTCTCAGTGCCCGTCCTGACGAGTGGCTTGGACGCTGCCTCATTGACTCTCTGGGCGTCGGCTGTGTCTCACAACACCAGGTGACAGCTCTTTCAAGTCAGTCCCAGACCCTGATAAGCTAGTGGGGGATGAGTGATTGGCCTTCCTTCCAGTAGCCCCTCGGAGGCCATTGTTCACCTTTCCTGGCCACTGGCCACCCGGTGGACCCTCGGTTGCTCACTTTGGCAATCTGAGGACCTAGGGCTATCAAAAGTGGTATCTTGTTAGGGACCCCTAAGCAAGACCAAAGGGTGCTGTTACTCACCGCCCTCTTGCACTCCACACCTCCCCCGACATGGCAATGTGGGCATGTCTTAGAGATGACCACTCCTCAGAGAAGTGAGGTGATCACTTTTCCAGCCTAGAGGGCTTCCCTGTTTGTTGTTCTGGAGAAGAGTGGAAGAGCCCAGAGGTGGCATATCCTCTCAAACCAAATTATTGGGAAGATTTTCTATCTTGTGGCTTTCATTTCCTTGAGGAACAATGGGATTCTTTGGGGGAGGAGAGTATCCTTGTTATTATTTTTAGTATTTTATTTCTGTGATTGCTCCTTGCAGAGTGGGGCTAGCCCATAAGGAGTGTGCTGAGAGTATCCGAGAGTGTCCTTAGTTTCCTGCTTGCTTTCTACTTTCCAAAATGCGGGCAGTGAAAGAACCGGGGTTAAGGGAGGTGGTGAAGAGTGCCTCTGTCCTCTGTTCTAACACAGCAGTGCTAACAGAATGTGAACACTGAGTATGGTTAAGGGTGGTTTGGGACTGGCAGCTCTTGTGTGTGGAATTGATTGGTCTGATTGGTCCCTCTAGGGGCAGCAGTATCGCTCATTTGAACTGGCCAAAAATAGGGACCCTGAGAAGGAAGGGAGCTCGGCTTTCCTGAGTGCCTTCGCCGTGCACCCTGTCTCCGAAGGTACCCTCATGTACCGACTCCACAAACGCTTCAGCGCTCTGGAGTTGGAGCGGGCTTACAGTGAAATAGAACAACTGCAGGTGAGCTGAAGAGGAGCAGGTGGGCAGAGGACCACGGTCACAGGGTCAGAGAGAGCCTGAGATGTCCAAGCATACAATGAGTGAGCAGCTGGCAGTGGGGCTGGGCTAGGCTCCGTATAATGGCAGGGCAGGAAAAGGCTGACCACACTGAAATTTATAACAACTACAGGGATAAAGGTCCTTGGGGGTCCAAAGCAATCATAAGGTAAGCTCCCAGGACAACTTGAATGCAGCTAAAGGGGTTTGTAAGTAAACTCAGGATCAAGAAACTCCACACAGTGCTCAGACCGAATAGTTTTAGCTCCTCCTCAATAGTGCCTGTCCACTGAGGAGGCAAAAATTCTGGAAGTGTCCCAAGAAAGCCCAAGGGTAGAAGGTAGAAGAATTCTTAAGTTGAATGTCGGGGTTTGCAGAGGTGGAGTGCAGATGAAAACAAGGGTTGATTATGAAGAGGACGCAGGTCCTTTGGGTATGGAAGAGAAAGGCTGTTGAGCTTCTATTTAAAGATACTTTTACCTGAGCAAAAGCACACTTTCCACTTCTTTCTCATGGCAATTGTGTAAGGCGAATATGATTCCTATTCCATCTGCATTTTAGAGGTGAAGAGTAACATACAGGGGATTCAGTGATTAGCAAGGGACCCCTCACTGTTGATGGAGTTAGTTAGGGCAGAGCTCAGCTATTTGAATCTCAGAGCCCAGGCAGCTGGAGCTGGGTAGGGTCCTGGAGCCGGTACTAACATGAGGCACATTCCCTCCAACCCAGGCTCAGATCCGGAACCTGACGGTGCTGACCCCCGAAGGGGAGGCAGGGCTGAGCTGGCCCATTGGGCTCCCTGCTCCTTTCACACCACACTCTCGCTTTGAGGTGCTGGGCTGGGACTACTTCACAGAGCAGCACACCTTCTCCTGTGCAGATGGGGCTCCGAAGTGCCCACTACAGGGGGCCAGCAGGGCAGACGTAGGTGATGCGTTGGAGACTGCCCTGGAGCAGCTCAATCGGCGCTATCAGCCCCGTCTGCGCTTCCAAAAGCAGCGGCTGCTCAATGGCTACCGGCGCTTCGACCCGGCACGGGGCATGGAGTACACCCTGGACCTACTGTTGGAATGTGTGACTCAGCGTGGGCACCGGCGGGCCCTGGCTCGCAGGGTCAGCCTGCTGCGGCCACTGAGCCGGGTGGAAATCCTCCCCATGCCCTATGTCACTGAGGCCACCCGAGTACAGCTGGTACTACCACTCCTGGTGGCTGAAGCTGCTGCAGCCCCGGCTTTCCTTGAGGCCTTTGCAGCCAATGTCCTGGAGCCACGAGAACATGCGTTGCTCACCCTGTTGCTGGTCTACGGGCCACGAGAAGGTGGCCGTGGAGCTCCAGACCCATTTCTTGGGGTGAAGGCTGTAGCAGCTGAGTTAGAGCGACGGTACCCTGGGACGAGGCTGGCCTGGCTCGCTGTGCGAGCAGAGGCCCCTTCCCAGGTGCGACTCATGGACGTAGTCTCGAAGAAGCACCCCGTGGACACTCTCTTTTTCCTCACCACTGTGTGGACCAGGCCTGGGCCCGAAGTCCTCAACCGCTGTCGCATGAATGCCATCTCTGGCTGGCAGGCCTTCTTTCCAGTCCATTTCCAGGAGTTCAATCCGGCCTTGTCACCACCGAGATCACCCCCAGGGCCCCCGGGGGCTGGCCCTGATCCCCCCTCCCCCCCTGGTGCTGACCCCTCCCGGGGGGCTCCTACAGGGGGCAGATTTGACCGGCAGGCTTCTGCGGAGGGCTGCTTCTACAACACTGACTACCTGGCGGCCCGAGCCAGGCTGGCAGGTGAACTGGCAGGCCAGGAAGAGGAGGAAGCCCTGGAGGGGCTGGAGGTGATGGATGTTTTCCTCCGGTTCTCAGGGCTCCACCTCTTTCGAGCCGTAGAGCCAGGGCTGGTGCAGAAGTTCTCCCTGCGGGACTGCAGCCCACGGCTCAGTGAGGAACTCTACCACCGCTGCCGCCTCAGCAACCTGGAGGGGCTGGGGGGCCGTGCCCAGCTGGCCATGGCTCTCTTTGAGCAGGAGCAGGCCAATAGCACTTAGCCCCTCTCAGGGCCCTAACCTCCTCAGCTTTGCTTTCCCCCGGCCCCAGGAAGGGCAAGGCAAGGTGGTTCACAGATAGCTTGTTGCTGTATTTTTAAAGTATGATAATGTTATTAAACGTGTCTTCTGCTAAACTGTTTTTAGATCTAGGGAAAACTGAGTAAAGAGAAGAATCCAAGGGAAGGGTGTGGGGAGTTTGTCCAGAGGGACCCACTGCCTCCCCATCCACTTTCCCTCCCCCTTCCCTCCCCAGTTTCCAATGACCACATGGCTGCTGTCAGATGAATAACTTTTAATCCAGCCCTGCACCCCAAAGCGGCAGAGGAGTGATGCCAGAGCCTGGGGCGGAGCGCTGGAGCTCTGGGTGCGGCCAGAAGGTCCGTCGTGCTGCTTATTCCCGGGCTCCTAGGTGTTGCGTACAACCAGCGACTGCTCCAGCTCCTGCCTGCGCTGCTGGATCTTTAGAGGAAGTGAGAGCAGGAGCAGGTGTCAGTGTTCCTGGTGAGTGATCAGGACCACCCCACCTCCTGATACTGCCTACCCTGGAAGAGCATCTGGGAGCAGGGGGGCTGCTGCATGGTCAGGTGTTGTGGTGAAGCTTTACTGTGGGGAGCTGTGAGGGCTGCCCACAAGCTGAACAGGGAGGTTTCTCTCGGAGTTGAGGGGGAAGCCTCAGGGCAAGGGACCCTCCATACCTTACAGTAGAAGTAGCGACTGACGGCCTCCTGGGACCAGGGCTGGTGGTAGAATTCAGCCCGGCGCTCCTCTTCGGGGTTGCCAGCTACATCTGTCATCACCTGGGAGGGAGCATGGGATCAGCCCTGAGCCCCGAATCCCCTCACCTGCCCTGGAGTACGTTTACTCTCTTTCCTGATGTGCTTGTCTTCTACTCCAGTACTCCCTGAGTCTCCCTCTCACCTTGAGGTCCCGGCTCTGGGAGCGGAGCAGGTCTTGGACATAGCCTTTGGGGTCCCTGGAGAAGCTTAGCATGAAGTCCCTCTGGATCTTGAGCTGATTTATGGACTCAATCGTCTCATGGATCTGCAGGTAGAAAGATAGACGCTTTCCACCTGGCTGTGGTGATGTGGGAGAGGAGGGGAAAAGGAGGCGGGTGGGAAGGGGAGGGAGAGGGGTTTTCTTCAGTGAAAGACAACCTCTCAGAGCCCCTGATTCCTCCGAAGTCCCAGGGGAGGACGGGATGGGCAGAACTACATTTGGAATAAGGTTCAACCCCAAGTAGCATGGAAGGGCCATGTGTGCCCCACTGGCCCACACTCTGGTCGCTTTTCTTTTCCTTTTTTTTATTTAACTCAGACTGCTCATCTGCAACCACACCCTAGTCTCAGTAAAGTCTGCTTTATCATCCCTGGGTTAATGTACCACTCCGGCTCTGGGCTTGGGCCCCACCTTACTGTCCAGAGCACTGATCTCCTGCTGGTTGGCTGTGGACAGGAGGAAGCTGCTCATCTGCCCCTTTAATGGCTCCTCCACCTCCACGTCAATGTCTGAAGGGTCCACGCTGCCAGGGAAGTGCAGCCCTCGGTGTTCATGATGCCCCCATAGAGGCCCCAGGGCCCCGGGGTGGGGGCAGCTCCAACAGGGAGGGAGAAAATATGGGAGTGGGAGGAGAGGGAGGGGCAGGGAAGGCAGGAATGAGATCATTCCCTGGTCTGAGAAGCAAGCTGGGGCCACCTCACCTGATGACATGGTTGATGACAATTGGGTCAGGGGGCAGTAGCAGGGCTGTGAGGCGCTGGGGAATCTCAGAAAACTTCAGCCGGGGACAATCAAAAATCTAGCGAGACAGTTGGGGAGAGAGAGATCACTCTTCTCTTAAAGAGATCATCACGCAGTTGTAGATCCTTTTGTTGTAGAAAGGCCTCAAGAAGCTGAGAGCGAGTCTGATTCCTCAGTGCACATGGGGATGGGATTGGAGTTGGGCTGGTCTGGTGGTGGAGCCACCAGCCCGGCTGACAAGGCCTGGGGTGGGTCAGTGTGGGGCAGGCTGAGAGTGCAGGCCCTGGGTCAGTCTGTGTATCGGTCCTGCCTCTCCCATCACTATGCAACTGTGAGCAAGCTGACACCTCGGGCCTCAGTGTCTTCATCTCTAGAGTGGGGATGAAAACAATACCTATTTCAGGGTTGTCGTGAGAAGTCGGTGAACTAATACACATAAAGTGCTTGGAACAGTGCCTGGCACATGGTAAGTGCCCAATAAATATCAACTACTATTTTTACTCCTCAGGTTTATCTGCCGTATTTATTTTAAAATGCATTAATAAGAATACTCTCTGTTTTGATGGAATTTCGCCAAGTCACTTTTGCAGCAATTTGACCTTCCCTAACTGCCCAGGAAAGTAGATGGGGCAGGTATTGTCACTCCACTTCAAAGATAAGGAAACAAGGTTCAGAATTTCTGAGTCACTTACCCAGAGTCCAGACTCAGGACTAGAACCTGGGGATCCTAACTCCAAGCGCCAAGAATATTACATTCCAGAAAGCAGTTGGCTTTGTAGGGTTCCATGTCTTCCTAACTTGGGGGAGCTAAAATGGATTGGCTGCAGCACAGAGTTAATCCACAGTAGGGCCTGAACTAGAATCCTGGTTGGTCTCTGGGCTCCAAGACCATAACTCTGTATTGCTTCTGCTACTCAGGAATCTAGAAGGGAGGGTGGTAGTTACCTTGGTAGAGGTACTTCCCCTGCTGGAGAACTCTGCCTGCTCCCCAGATCCCTGGGTTCAGGAGAGAGGTTACCTGCTGGAAATACTTGTCCCCATTGATGTATTCCTTATCATGGGAGTCTTGCAGCCTGTTGGTCTTCACATACTGCCACAGGGCCTGAACGATGGCTGAGCGGCTCTGTGTGTGCAATCCCAGCAGCCGTGCTAGGCGGGGATCCAGTTTGAACTGGGGAGGCTGGGAAAAGGGGACTGTGAAAGTTAGATCAAAGGGAGAGAATGGAAGGAGCCCAGGGCCAGGCCATTCAGGACTAGGGGGATGTGCTGATTGAGGGAAAGACAGGGTTGGGAAGGGAGGGAGGTCTGTCAAGATGGACCACTTTGGGATCTAGGCCTGCCCTGAGGGCCTCATGTGACATGTGCGGGGCAGCATGGCAGGTGCAGACCTGGTAGTCCAGCATGAGGAGCAGTGTGCAGCGCACACTCAGGTCCCCGGGCCGTTTCACCTGGAAGCCATCCGTCTCCTGGGTCGTGGGTGTCCGATGCCACTGTCCAGGAGAGAAGAGCTGGGTCACCCAAAGGCCTGTCTGAAGTGGTGGGGCCCAGGACACTAGGGTGGTCCCTGACCCAAATCTGGGCTGGTTCTTCAGGGATTCTGGCCTGTGGGAGGGTGGCAGTTCAAGGGCAGAGGGGATCTTTGTCTTACCTCAACGAGGTGGTTGTCAGGGCCATAAAGATCTTTGTCCAGCTCGATGACCAAACTCTTGAAGAAAGAAGAGAACTTCCGCTTCTGTTTGCTGGGCTGTGGGAGAGAAACAGGGACTGTGGGTGCAGAACAGGGACTGGGGGGCAGAAGGCCAAGTTGGCAGCAAACAGGGCAGTGGGCTTAGATGAAATCCTCTGCACCCCGAATGTCTCTAGGCCTGCCCTGATCTGGCCCAGGCTGACTCTCTAGCCCTTAGTGCAGACACCTAGTTCTGTTCTCAGTGCAGCCCATGCCCACCCTAGGACACCTGGAGAGACCTGCGCCGGGACGTACATCATCCAGGAGCTTCCCCTCTACCCGCAGCTCCCAGGAGGCAATGCTGCCATCGGAATCCTCAGCATCCGGCTTCGCAGGGTTAAAAGTGTTGGAGATATAAAGACGCAGCTTCCGCTTTTGCTGTAGAAATAAGAGTGTAGAACCAAGCGAATGCTGTGTGCTCCCACCCTGACCACCTTGCTTCGCCATCCTGGGCACACGACTCAAAGTCCCCTTCCTACCCCCAAACTAAGGCACCTTCATGGGCCTCTTCAGAGCCTCCTGGATGTCCACCCGCTTCCTCATGATGGTTTGATCCAGTTTCCTCTCAAACGCTAAGAGGTCCATGTAAGCCTGGGACTCAGGGACCAGCTCCCGAATCTGGAGAAGGAAGAATAGGGCAGCAGTCAGAGGCTTAAGTCCAGGGTTGTACCATGGAATGTATGCATGTTGTGTGATCCTAGGGTACAAAAGATGTGGAGGGGAGCCATCCTACTTCTGGGCATGGAGCTTTCATAGTGGGAACAGGGCCTCGCTTCTCAGAATGCCATTATCTAGCTGTAGGGCCCTCACTGTGTAGGGAAAACAATTGCCTCTCCCTTTAGGAAGAGCTATGCATTTCATCATCAGGAAAGGAGATAGTAACTGTGGAGCCCAGCAAGCACTAGCCTTTAGTCTCCTCATCTTGTCATTTTCCACATCATACACCTGCTGGGCTTCCCCTGGGCCCCGCAAAGTGCCTAGTAAGGGCTCAGTCCCTGAGACAGTTGGACAGTGGTGTTTGCTTCTCTGCTGGCACCTCGTTCAGTCCCTGCACCTGTCCCAATTGTGCTGTCCTCACACCCATCTGGACCTGGATCCCTTTAGGATGCCCAGGATCTCTGGCCACCTTCTATCACCTTCATTCTGACTGGCAGCCTCTGATCCCCTAGCCCTTGTCCCCTCCTGGGCCTACACCTTTAGGTCTTAGTACCACTTGGGTCCAATCCGCTGACCCTCAGCCCTGTGTTCTGGCCCCAGTGGCTCTGCTGCTTCCCTGCACCCCACTCCCTCTCTCTGGCCTGGGGAGCCTCACTTATTAATGAGTTTTTTTAAACAAAAAGTGAAAGTGACTGTAACACTGAAGCTCTGCTTCTGAGAGGGGAGGGGAGGCAACTTGGGTTGGGGGAGAGGAGGGCGGAACAGCAAAGGGTTGGGGGTGGGCTGGGGGCTGCTGTGAAAGGCACTCACCCTTTGAGGGAGGATTTTGTCAGCCATCTTCCTCCTCTTGGCACTGTACATTTTTTAAAGAAAAAACCAGGTTACCATGGCGACAGATCTGGGAGTAAGGAGGCCACCTGCTAAATTATCCCGACATCTCTGCCTGCCTGGCTGGGGTTCCCACAGCCCGCTTGTCTGTCCGCCCAAGGGCTATGACGGTTGTGTGTGGAACTGGTGCTCTGTCCTCTCCCAGGACATAGGGGTGCCCCATCCGATATTCTCTGGCTTGGGAGCCCCTTCCACCCTGCCACATCCTTAGGGACAGAAAAAATTAGACTTAGGAGGGACTGGCGGGTGGGGGCGGTGCTTCCAAAGATGGGAGCTGCAGAAGTGTTGGAGGAAATGTGGGGATCAGGGAGGACAAAGGAGAGGGAAGCCAGGCTCTCAGGACCTTTTCTGCAAAGCAGGGGGTGCCCTGTCCAAAGGGGTCTAAGCTCAGAGGGGAGAGAGATGACCTCCTTCCTATCCATGGAGCAGGAGGTGATGGTGTGAAGCTGGTGGGACTTGCCTCCCAGCCAGCCACCCTGGGCTTGGAAGACAGTACGATGAGGGCAGGGGGTGCTCATGTCTGGGGCCTACCTGGCAACGGGGTGAGGGACACACTGCAGCCATAGGGGCCCAGAAGTGCATGGATGCTCTCCTGTGTGGGTATGACTTCAGGCTGGGGCCAAATGGACTAGGCCTGTAGTAGTAGCAGCTGGATGTGGGCTCTTTCTGACCCACTGTTGCTTCTGACTCCCCCAAAAAACCTTGGCGGGTCAAGAGATGAAAACGCAGCCTAGCGAATAGCTCCATACTGCCCCCGTGTGGTGTTTTCAACCACTGCCCCCTCCCTATGCAGAAATCGAAGGCTAACAAGCAGATTTCATTAAAGGTCTGATTTGTTTTAAACAGATTATCTATGTGTAACTCTCCATTTATACAAGATAAATCAGGGAATTACCATTTGCTGTATAGATGACGATGCGCTTTGCAACATAATTCATCATGGGATTCCTATAAGTGTGAATTTTCCCTGATGTGTAAAAAATACTTAATAATGAGATAAAATTGATATTACACCTTTTATGGAAATCCATCTGTTGTGCAAAAAAAGCATGTGTATTTGTCTAAATACTGAGACCCAGAGGAGCACTGCTGTTGCCAGGAGCCAGCAGGGGTTTTGAGGGTGTCACCAGGTGCTGGAGGAAAGCAAGGAAATGGGCTGGCCCTGGTGACTTGGGAGTAGACCTGGTCCAGAGTGCCTAAGAATTAAGAGCGGGACTGGGCATAGACCATCTACCCACCGGGCAAATCCCCAAGCTCCACCCCCATGGCCAGAGAGTCCCATTGAGAAAATCTGGAGTGGCTTTGAAACAGCCCGAGGGGGGGCTGGCAGGAAGGCTCAGCGGAGAACCACACTTCGGGCAACACAGTCTTATAGCTCTGCCCTCAGTCCCATTGGAAGCCCCGCCCCCACCCCAAAGACTGAAGCATCACCCAGAACCTGATGGGTGGAGAGAGGGACTGAGCAGGTGACAAGGAGAAGGGTGAGGGGAGCGTGCAGGGAAGCGGTACTAGCTGCCGAGGGTCGCAGCCTGGCTCTACTGTGGGCACACAAAAGAATCAGGCCGGTGTCCCCTAAGCCCACCTCCCCAGAGGGCATCCCACCCGGGAAGCCTCGCTCACTGCTAATCATTCTTCCTCGCCCCTTCCAATCCCCGCTACTCGCCCACCTGGTCCCTGCGGGTCCCCAGGGCCCGCCTCTGCACGCCCCCTCCGCGCCGGGCCCCCCACTCACCTGCGGCTCCGCGCGGGGGCAGTGGGCACCGGCTGGCCCTGGCTCTGTGCCTGGCTCTGCCCGGGCGGGGGCGCTGCTCGCTTGCGGGCGGGCTCCATGCCCGCGGGGGCCAGGCCGGGTCGCACGGCGGGGCTGCCCATGTACGGGGAGCCCGGGGGGCCCATGGGCGCCCCCTGGTGGGGCATCCGCGCTCCAGACGGCATCCCGGGGCGCTGGGGGTGGGGCGGGGGTGAAGCAGAAACGGGCGCCCACGGGTCAGACCAGGGCCCCCGCTCCAGGCGCGGTGAGCCGGCGTCTCCCCTCCCCCCCAAGACCCTCGGCTGCTGACCCTGAGCGCTGAGCGATGGGTGGGAGCGATGGGTAGGAGGGGCAGGGGCGCCGGAATCCGCGCGGCTCTGGCGGAGGGGCTTGGCGTCTGGCTGCAGTAAGCTAACCAAAGCCAGGCAGCGCACAGGGCATTGCGAACCTCGGGGCTGCGGAAGGTACCGCAAAAATGAATATGAATGGCGTCTTTCAACCTTTCAAAGATGTTCACATCCACATGCTGCTCTGCAAGACAGTCTCAGCAGGTCCATTCATCCCCACTGGACGGATGAGGCCACTGTGGCTCTCAAGGAGAAAAACGACCTCACCAAGGTCACCCAGCTCATCCTGGCCCGGGCAGCCCCTGAAGGGCCATCCCCTGGGGACCTAGGGCCTGGCTCTCTGCAGGCTTGGTTGAGGTCGGGGACCCAGCTCCCTGCCCCAACTTCTGCTCCTCCTCCTGCTCCTCCTCCTCAGGCTCCACTTCTTGGGCGGTTCTGCCTGGCACTCACCAGCTCATCTCAGCCACTCTGCTCCCTGTATCCCTGCTTTTGGCCCTTCGGTCCCAAACCCCACTCTCCTCGGCTGGCTCCAAGTCTCCACACCCAGGATCTTGGCTAATGAAGCTGCCCCCATAATTTACTCCCAGGGTGAGGGCTGGAGGCAGGCAAGGGCAGCCTGCTGGGGTGTCCCAGACCCCACCAGGATTCTGATTGGGAGGACGGGAGCTGCGTTAGAGGTGGGCTGCCCAGGGGCCCTGGGGTAGGTCAGGGCAGTGACATTTCCATTCACATGTTTCCCTTCCTGTCTGCCCAGGTCAGCAGCCCTCTCCTCCTCTTCCCATCCCCACCCCAGCCAGGTCAGGAGTCAGGGTTCAGAGGGGGCTGTGGAGACTGAGAGGAGGCAGCTCCTCCTCCCTTGCCACTACCCCTGGGTGGTCAGATGGGGTGTAAATGAGATGCAAATGCATCCAGCGAAGTGTTCCAAACCCCACTTGTCCAGACTCCAGAAGGGAGATGGGGAGGGCCAGAGAGAGTTTTGGGGGCTGTGAAACAGAACGAGTGGGGTGGGATGGGGACGGGGCCCACGGGAACAGGAAGTAGATAAGGGAGCAGGGGATGCAGACCCTGAGCCTGTTAACACCGACACACCAACCACTTCACCCCCAGCTTGCTGTTTCCCTTCCAACTGCCACCTCCCTCCTGGCCCTCCAGGCTCTGCGTCTAGCCCTAATGTCCTCCCACCCTCCGTCAGCAGCTGTCTCTGCCTGTCTCTCCTGCAGTGAAACCTGCCTGTCCCTGTGTCTGCTTCCCTCACCCCACCTGACCCTGTCACTCATGCCTTCAGGGTAGCAGCCCAGAATGGAGCCCAGGCCTGGCCACCAGCATAGGTGGGGCACTGGGGCTCACAGCCACCCAAGAACTGAAGCTCTAAGTTGACCAGATAAAAAAAAGTCCACGTGTACAGCCTCTCTCCCCACTAGATGGGCCATTTTAAAGAGGCTCCCACCACCAGCCAGGTTAGGACTGGTAATGCAGCTGACTGACATGGACACCTTGGGAAGTTATGCCCAGGGGTCCCTGGGGCTGGAGGCCCCCTCTTCCTGTCAGCTGCTCTCCCTAGTTATCAAGGCCAGGCACACTGGCTCATCTGCTGAAGAGGCCTTGAGAGGGAGGCTTCCAGAGCCCCCGAGAGCTGTCCCAGCCACCAGCTCCACCCCCACGAAAATCCTAGGGACTCTGTCTGGCCTTACTGAGAAGGTGCCTTCCTTGGGGTCACAACCAAATTTGGCCATAGTAAACCCAACTGCTTCCTCTACACAGGGCCTCCACCCCCTCATCCATCCCAAGAGCCGCAGCCCCTGCCTCTCCCATTCCACACCCCTCCATACCCCTCCCAGCCGGGCCTACTGACTCAGCTGCAGCCTCCTGGGCTCCCACGTGCCTTTGCAGCCTGCCTGTGGCAGGACAGTACTCCCCTATCCCTTCAATCTCTGCGCCTCACGTCCCCAACTCCAGCCCTTCCTTCACACCTTCGAGGGGTTTAGGACATCAGCTTCTGGTGGTTGAGTCCGCCAAGGGGACCCTCAGAGCCCGTAACTTGGGGTAAGTCCCTAGAGCAGGCCTCTCCTCCACCCCGAGGCAGAAGCTCCAGAGCCCTCCCGCTGGGATGCAGAGGTGGCTCAGCCTGCGAGCTTCCCGCGACAGTGCCTCCAGGGTCACCTGCTCCTTGCTCTGGAGACACAAGCAGTGACACTGTCCCAACGGATGAAGAGACAGCCCAGCCCAGACTCTGCCATGTCCCCATCCCCCACCCCCTCCCCGAGGGCAGGGACAACACCTGGGCCCACAAGGAAAAGAACGGAAGTCAACCTGTCCGCTACAGCGAGGACCCCCCACTTGGGGGGTAGAGTCCCCAAGTCCCACCCCCACCCCTGACAAGAGCCATGCAAACGCCTCCCTTCCCCGCCTCGCGCCAGACCCAGCCGGCCGCCTGGCGACGTGTTCAGGTGCCAGGGCGCCGGCACGGTCCCGGGGCCGGGCCGTGGGCCGTGGCGGCCCCCGCTAGAGGGGTGGGAGAGCCGGAGCGCCCTCCCGGCCCCTCCCGATCAGCCCTCCATTCAGCCCGAGCCAGCTCACTCGCCCTCCCCCGCTAACTTTCCCCCACTCACCACCCCATGGACCAGAAACTCAAAAAGTTTGCTTTTCGTGGCTTTGCGCGCCCCTCCGGCAACTTCGTCCGCGGCCATCGGGGTGGGCTCAGCGGCTCCTCTCACTCTCTCTCTCTCTTCCTCTTTCTTTCCCTTTTCTGCCTTTTTTTTTCCTCCAACTCTCCCCTCTGAGTCCTGCTGGGCTCTCTCACACTTCTACTCGAGCGGAGTGGGGAGGGGGCCCCTTCAGGGCTGCCCTGACGGCCCACGGCCCACGCCGCCGCCGCCCGCCCGCCGCCGCCGCCGCCGCCGCCGCCGCGGCTGCCGCATTCCTGCACTGATAAGCCAGAAATAGTCCGGCGGCCCGGGGTCTGCCTGTTGACTCGGCGGGGACGGGGCCGCCTGCCTTTCCAAGCCCGCTGTCCAAACAGCGCAGATAAGCGGCGAGGCGCGCCGACCAGCCCGGCCGCGGGCGCTGGGCAGCGGCGCTGCAGCCCGAGGCCGCCGAGGGCCGCGGGAGGCGGCGCGGGGAGGGGACGCCAGGGGAGGCGGCGGGGGGTCGCCGGCCACCGGCTCTCGCCACAAATAGTTTCTCCGTCAGGGAATTCGCCGGCCGCGCCAGGCAGGGAACAGTCAGTTCCAACTTTCCCCCCAGCGGCTCCTGCTGCATTTCTGAGGCCCTTTCCCCAGAGACCTGGCAGGCCGGGCCGGGAAACATGGGCTAGCAGGAGCCGGGGAGCCCGGCCGCGAGGCCTCGCGCCTGCCCTGGGCCGGCGGCGGTGGGTGTGCCCGGGCGGCGGCGTGGCCCTGCGTCCACCGCTGTGTGTGCCCTTGTCTGGCACGCCGTGTGTGTCCGCGCCCTTTTGTGGCGTGGCTGCTCTGTGCGTGCAGACAGACGCCCTGTCTGTGTGCCTCCCTCCACGACAGCCTCCGTGCGCGCGCGCCTGCGTGTGTGGCAGGACGTGGCCTGTGCCTTTCAGCTCTGTGCGAGGCTATTTCTGGGTATGTGAGTCTTTGTTTGTCGCTCTGTGAGAAAGTGAGGGCAACAGGGGAAGTATTTCGGAAAGAAGGACAGGGATTGTGCTCATGAGAACAGGAAGAGAACGAATGTGGGGAATGGCGCGGCGCCAGGGGGTGCTGGGGTGGGTGCGTGGAGGGAACGAGGCAAGCCCAGCTTGGTTTCCTTGGGCTGGAGGTGGACCCAGAGGAGTTGGGGCAGCTGGGCTGGGTATGGTGGGCCAGCCTCAATACCCCAGAGAGAGAAGTCTTGAGTCTGGGGTGTGGGGTGGGATGGCGAGGGAGGCACAGAAGTGGAAGGAGCTGGCAGTCCCTGGAGTGGAGGAGGGACCAGAAGGAGGAGGGGCAAATCCTGACATCCTCAGGCTGGGAGCCCTGGCCCTCCCCAGTCCCCCAAAGGCCACGCCCCTCTTTCCTCCTTCTGGGGGAGGAGCTTGTGGGCTTTGGGACAAGGAGCAGTGGGTCAAGTTTGTGCGCCTGCTGGGGCCTCACTTCGAGAATCCAGGAGAGGGCAGGGCCATGCCTAGTGCCTAGGGGAGTTTGGTGAAACACTTATTTGAAGTTGGGCCCCGAAGACTGACGAGTCCTGACCCTAAATCCTTCAGAATGCCTTTGCCCAGGGGTTTTTTCTGCCCTAGCCTGATTTCTGCCGGTCCTGGTGGTGCTCTTAGCTGTCACTGTTCATGTAGGTGCCCACCGTCAATCTGAAATGCCAGAGAGGGCATCTGGTTCAGGATGCCCCTCCACCACCCCGGCTTAAAAGGGGACCTAGAGATCCCCTTGCTACCAAACCTCTCCCAGAGCTTTAGCCTAGACCAAGCACACATACACACACACACAGCCTGGGCCTGACGGGGTGGGGATGGGTGGGTGGGCTGCCTCTGTCTGCCACAGGTCATGAAAGTGGCTGCTGGGAACCTGGGGAGGTGATTTACCCAGTCTGCCTGCTAACCTCCAAAATTCCTGCTCACTCCAATTTCTTAGCCCCTGCCCCTGGATTCTTTTATCTGGAATGCCCTCTACCTGTCCAAATCACACCTATCCTTTAAAGCTCAGCTCATGCCCCAATTCCTCCAGGAAGCCTTCCCTGGTCCTACTTGTATGCATGGGTTTTTCTCTTCTCCAAATGCCCATTGCCATCTACCCAGCACCATGAATTGGCATTGGACTGGCCTGATGTGCACTGTATTTTGTGGGCATTAGCTTTGGTTTCCCAAAGAGGCTAAGGCCCCTAAAAGGTCA